AAATTAGAACGAATTTATAATTTCCAATTGCAAAGACAATTAATTAATCGACTATCAGCCTGACTCTCTAAAAAAAGTCCCCAGCAGAGTCGCCAATCTGTCGAAACGATTTTTTTCTTATAAGGTGAAAAAGTGAGATTTTAAAAACCACATTAATTTTTATTTACCTCTTTCAATTGATTTTTAATTTAAAAACAAATGCAATTTAAAAAACCTCTCGTTTCGAAAATTTTGAGATTTCCTTTACGATCAAAAAATACGGTTCAAAGAGTCGCCACCAATCTTTGGTTAGGGTGTGATTGGGCACCCAAAAATGTTTGTTATTTTAAATAAAAATTAATTTTAATTAAAACAACAAATTGAGGTCTGCATTACCAAAAAATGAGTTCGGGAGTCGGTTACGTGTGGGGAAGGATTAGCATCCCCACAACGCCCTAAATCGGTACCTAGTCGATTAATTAACGTCTTTGCAATAAACTTTACAAATTCGGACTTAATTTGGCTTTTGATCCCATAAAAGAAAGATGTAAATTTTAAAAAAAACATTCAAAAGCACCCAAATAAATTAAATTAAAATTACCGAGTCGTTTTAGAAAGATAAAGAATGTTCGATTATTTAAAAATATCGAGACCAGATCTTATATGAGTTGTAACAACCTTTTCTCGAAAATTTTAAATAAATGAACATTTCCTTTTCTTTCGTTCCCAAATTTTAGGTGACGAATCAAATTTTTAGGTTTCACTTTCGGGATACACTTTTAATTTAAAATGGTCAAAACGACCCTCTAATCAGTTAAGACAAGCCACTAAAGACAATTTTAAATTAAAAGGGTATTACCCTTAGTCCGATTATGTATTTATAAGTCGAGTTATGCACATTAGGGTATCATACAAATTGTGCAAAAAAGATGTCATGTCAAAATCAATTAAACAAAATTAAAAATATCATACAATGTGACATACAAAAAATTATATACATATATTTAAATTAAAAATCATAAACCATACATATTAACATATAATGTACACATGTGACCTAAATATGAAAATAAAAAACATAACATACCAAACTATAAATTTTAAAAAATATATATATACATGTAAGACTTTAAGCAAACTAAATAAATAACAATTATTGAATCGGGAAGCAAAATGCGGCAATTATACAAATTAAAAATAAACTGATACATAAAACTGAAACATAATGCACTCAAAGTCTAAAGTCAAAAACAGAAATTCCCAAAAATGGTGAACCAAGAGATTAAATTGAATAATTACTAAGTTAATTAGGGATTAAACAAAAATAAACATGTAATTAAAATCAACCATGCTAAATAATAATAGACAGGGGATTAAGACATAAAAGCTAAAGCATTAACAGAATTAGACCAAACCAATAAAACAGAAAAACAAATCTGGAAAATAATAGCATTAGGACAAATAAAATAGTTCAAATCAGAAAACAAACTTATACAACTATACAAGTGACTAAATTATAAATAAGCAGTAAATCCTGGGGGATTAAAGTATGATTTTTTAATTTTCACAAATCTAAAATATAAAGTTCAAGAAATTTGCGTATTTGCGAAATCAAGACAGAACAATTACACAATAAAACGAAATAATCCTATAGGGGACTAAAACGAAAACATGCAGCCAAAGTTAAGGGGTATGAAAACAATTTATCCTAAATTTAATATATAAAACCTAACTATAAGCTAAACCTAAATCCAACTCAAACTAAATCACTCAGCCCCTCTCCATTCTCTCCACTCACAACCGACCGTGGCCCTTAACTCCTAACCCCGACCACCGTAAACGGTGGTCCAATGACCTAAATCAATGATCCCGAACTCCTTACAACCCTCATCTCGCCTTGCTTACCTTCAATCTTGAGTCTAAATCTCATTAGAAATTTTAAAAACAGATTCAAAAACAATCTCGACCTCTCGGCCTCATTCTCTCTTCAACGTCTCCCCTCTCCGACGATACGACCCTAACTATTAAGGTAACATTACTACTTCCTCTTTGTTTTTCTGTTTTGGTTTTGATTTGAAACATAGACACACACAAGAACATTATGAAAGCAATGGAAAATGGAAATTGAAAACAAATACCCTTTTGATGCTATGTGTTGCTTTGATTCAATGAAAAACGGAGTTCCACCGTTTCATTTGACTTTCAATTAAAAAGGAAAAATCCACCCTTGTACAATGCTTTTTCTTCTCTGTAGAAAAAAGAACCAACAAGCTCCCCCCTCTTTTCGTTTACAGTGTTTGATCTGGTAATATGAAAATACTGTTTACACTGTTTTCTATTTTTTGTTCTGTCATCTGTAGAAAAAACAAATGGTCTCTCATTCCTATCCTAATGCCCTTGTTATCTCCCTTTCTTTTTGTTTTTTTTTCTGTTTTCCATGAATCCCCCCTACAAAACTGTTTTTTCCTCTTTATCATCCCACTTACAAAACTGTTTTTAATGCAGTTTTCCATAACTCCCCACGATGATGAATTCATCCTTATTTGTTGCCTCAAAATGATCGCACGGTTAGATAGCTGACTTACGGGACCCGGACAAATCGAGCATCTACAGCCTAGAAATGATATTAGAAGTATTCTATGAGACTTGGAGATCAATTTGGAAGCTTGAGTTGGTAAAAAGGGCTAATATACAAGTTTTAAGAATTGTGGAACATTATTGCAAGAATGTAATATTTGAAGGGTTAATGTTGTTTTTTTATAGTTGAAAATGTTGGAAATTTAAGTTGGAAAGTTGTTTGGAACCACAATAAATAATTAACTGAATACATAACAAAACATAAATAAAATTGAAGCTCGCATTTTAATTAAACAGAAAAATTCAAAATTATGGCTAATTCTCATCTCAAGATATCAAACACTACATCAAGATCAATTCTTTGGACAATAATATTAAAGTAAACGATACTCTTGTTGTGGTAATCAAACATTGACAATAAGCTATGTCGAACAAAAGATTAATCTTTGGACTAATGTAATGCTCGCATAAAATACCTTATAATTGTTACATGTTATTATCATAGGTGTTGCTTGAAATTCGGCCAAATATTAACTTTCGTTTGGGTCCATTAATAAATGCATAAATAATAAGAAACACATAATCATTTTGATATTTTAAATAAATCAGTCTACACAAAAGAAGTCACTTTGACAACATTATGTTTCAACTAATCTATCAAAATATCAGACCTAACCAAAATATGAATTAATTTGTTTCAAAATATATATTTTATTAACTAACGATCAAAAACTGAAAAATCAAATTGTATACATACATATATTGCATTAACAATATAAATAAAACATATAAATATTGTCAACAATCAATTTCTCTTAATTTTATCTTTCAAGTAAACTGAAAGATAACCAAAATAATAATAATTTGAAAACCCTTCAACCTTATCTCAAGATATTAGATACTCTGCGGTAACCAAACATTGATAATAAGAACATGTCAAGCAAAAATCTTTTCTTTGGGTCGATTTATTACTCACACATCAAACCTGATAATTATCACATGCTTATTACCAAAGTTGTACATGTGATTATGTCAATTATTAATCTTTATTTGGGTCGATCAATACTAACATATCCTAAGTTACATGCACATAACCCTTATTCATATAAAATATATAGACGAAACCCACAAAAATATTAAAAACTAATTAACTAAAAAATAAATCAATAAGTTCTCAATTATTCAACATGATGAGGCTCTGATACCACTTGTTAGAATATAAATTATAAATAAATATGAACAACAATCATCATCTAATCATGTCAAATCATCAAGAATAAAATAAATATTAGATGCAGAAGCGTACCCGAATTAATTGACATGTTGAAATCTTTGAATCTTTCTTTGGTCGTGATCTTTCAAGAAGATATAGTTCCCTTGAGTCTAAACTCTCTAATAGGGATAAGAGTAAATACAAGAATATATATTTCTTGGGGACCATAACCCCTTTATATAACATATTTAAGAATCAATTATTTTGTATGTACTTATAACTCTGCCCCTCATCGCATTATAAATACAACTTTAATACTATTTACACTTTTATTTCCATGACACTTGTAATACCTTATAACTTTATAACATAATTGGTTACTTAATTTATGTCATATTTTATGATAACAATATATATTTAAAAATATGATCCCATAATTATGAATTTTAATCCAACAAAATAAACTTCCCTACCAAACGTTGATAATGTTCCTTGTTAACGGGAACACTTTCTCCATTAGTTTGAAACTTCAGATTTTTGCTCTATAGGTGTCTCAACAGGCTTACAACCTATCATGCCAGTCTCCGAGAGTATTCCAAGATATACTTTCGTTGATTAATAACAAACCCAATGTTTGATCTAGCCACCTCCAAATTTGCCCTTTAAAATCATATAAGCTACTCAAAATAATATTGACATAGCGATAAATTTAGCCATCAAAGTTTGTATAAATAATTATTTTGTCTCCTATTTTTTTAGTAGTTTAACCCTTAATATTTTAATTTTTATTCAAAACAACTTATGTTGGATGGAAACCGTTAGTTGACTACACATATTGCTGACGTGATATTTTCAAATGTGTTTAAATGATGATATAACATGTATCACGTCACTCAAAGTGATAATATGTCGTACACCACGTTATTTATATAAACATTAGAGATAAATTCATTATACAAAGAATATTGAATCATTTAAGATAAAACATCTTCCTTGACTTCTCCTTCACCTATTCATTTTATCTTATTATTTTGAATCAATTTCGGAAAGGTCAGTCAAAATCAATTAAAGTTAAAAATATTAATCTTCAACCACAATCTAAGCTTATGATTAGAACACGAAACAAAGAAGCTTTTGCAATTTAAAACATTTTATTCCCGGAATCTTATTATTACATTCCAAGTGCTCTCAGGGTCAAAACCTGAATGCAGAAATGATCGAAACTATTAAAATAAACATGTATAGGGTTGAAATTAAAAATATTACTGGGTTGATAATTAACTTGGAGGGATAGCAATTAAGACTAAATTATTTTTTCTGCTCATGGTCACACCAAAAGCCTCTGTCATGTCCAAGTCTCCATTCCTTATTCCATCAGGAAGCTCCCAATCAAAATGGTAAAGCAATTTTGCCAAAGCCAGTTCAATGTTAGGAAGTGCAAATGATATTCCTGGACAAATTCTTCTTCCTGCACCGAATGGGATATACTCCAAATCCGTTCCTCTGAAATCAATGGAACTATTGAGGAACCTTTCAGGGTAAAATCTCTCAGGCTCATTCCAGTACTTGGGATCCCTTCCTATGGCCCATGCGTTGATTATGACTTTAGTTTTGAAGGGAACTTGGTAGCCATTGATTTCACAATCCTCTCGGCATTCTCTTGGAAGTAACAGAGGGAATGGAGGGTGTAACCTCAAGGTTTCTTTGATGACTGATGATAAGTATTTTAGTTCTTTAAGACTTGCTTCATCTACATCTCCTTTTCCTTGGCAGATCTCTCTTACTTCACTTTGTGCCTTTTTTAACACCCTTGGATTTCTCACCATTTCTGCCATTACCCATTCTACGGCTGTTGATGATGTTTCACCACCTGCACTGAACACGTCCTGCCAAATCATGCCCCAACATTAGTTCATGCTTAATTCAAGAAGAAGAAGAAGAAGAAGAAGATACTAACAAAAATGATTGCTTTGATTTCCTTATCTGTCAGGGGAAATTCGAGACCGCCTTGTTGTTGAATCTTCAAAAGAACAGTGACCAAGTCTTCCTTGGTGTCTTCTTCACCAATTCTTCCGTTCTCCAGTCTGGTTCTATGTTCATTTATGATGCCTTCAAGTATCCCATCACACATCTGAAACAAAGCTCCAGCTTTCTGCTTCAATCCACTAATAAGCTCGAGCACTCTAAAAGATGGGTACATGTCTGCAAGTCTAAATCCAGAACCTAGCTTTATTATTTTTTCCACAGCCACTAAATACGATACATGGTCGCTGCACGTCTTGCCAAATGCTGCTCTAGATGCGATCCTATACGTCAAGGAGAAAATCTGCTTACTGAGATTGACCGGCGAGCCTTGGTTCGAAGCTATAGATTTCACAAGTGCTGAAACTTCATCTTGCCTGATCGATTCAAACGACTGCACTCTTTTAGCTGTTAAAAGTTCCACGGTGCAAATTTTTCGTGCTTGTCTCCAGTAATTTCCGTACGGTGCCATGGCGATGTCCCTGGAACCGTATGTCACGATATCCAGAGCAGCCACGTAAGGTCTACCGGCGAAGATAAGACCTTGTGTTATCATGATCTCTTTGGCCATCTCTGCTGATGAAACGACGACGGTGGAGAGTTCGCCGAGCTGGAGGTGCATTAAGGGTCCATGTTGATTGGCCAAATCTCTCAGAATCTGGTGAGGTTGTGCCCCGAATTTCACGAGCTGGTGGAGATTGCCGATAATGGGCAGTTTCCATGGTCCTGGCGGCAGCTTCTTGTTTGGATCTGTGCTTTTCATTTTCTTTACTGTTTTGATTGCTACATACAAGAAGAGAAAAGAAGCAAGCAGGATGGAAAGGGAGGGATATCGAAGCTCCATTGTTATCTGAAGAATCGAAAGTTTGAAGATGTGATTCGATTCCCGATTTGAAGGGATATATATAATAAGATGAAGATTGAAGCTGCTACTGGAAAATTTTCAACTCTTACCTATTTGCTGAATAATCTAGACGTAGTGATTGAGACTTCATAGTTTTATTTAAACGATATAATTACATTATGTTTGAATAATTATTTTCATCATGAAATTTTTAAAAATTATAAAATATTTTTATATTTATCAAAATTATAAAATAATTATTATACTTTGTCACACCCCAAAATTTAGAGCTCAGATTAAAATGTTTCAATTATCATTTTCGAGGGACTAAATTGTAAGAATTTAGAATCTTGAGATTCTTGTTAGTTTGAGGATTTGAATCGGAATTTACCCTTAGACCTTTTACTTTGGAAGAAAAAGTAATAATAAATCAGAAAAGAAAATGGTGTAGTATGTGGGTTTTGAACACATGATCTCCATAATCATCTCCCTAAGCCTTACCATCCAAGCTAGGATGTAATACATTATAAGAAACAACAAAAATATTTGTTAAACCCTCATAAAACGGATTGCGTTTTATGATTCCATGTCTTCTTGAGAAATCAACCTTTCCTCTTCTAAAAAAATGGGGAAACTTCTAGACCTTTCTTGACCCAAAACCAAGCCACCATCATTAATCATGCTCCGATAGTTCATTACGTTCATCGCCATCACCACTAGCTCCGACTTCACCTTCCGATCAAGCCTCAACTGCTAGTTACCCCGAGCAGCCCGTTATTTGTTGTAAATTGAGAGAAAATAAAATCGTTCGACGTTCTCCACTGCCCGTCTCTGTTATCATAGACCGTGAGTGTCACCGCCACCGCCGTCAGAAGTGCCTCCCTCGTACGACAAAAACTATGGTGATCGATTGTCGAGGGTCATCACCGTTTTTCATGGAGAGCCTCATAAAGCCTCGTCATAAAACTCAAGCATCGTCGTTGTTTTAGTGATTTCCTGTCGATTTCATCTACTGTTCGCCTCACCACCGCCATCACTGCACTCCCCACTTCCGTCTGCTCAAAACCTGATCGATGGGTTGCATCAACGTCACTGGTTTCGTCCGACTGTCAGCGGGGTAAACATTTCAGGTTTTTGTTTTAATTTCCGATGGTTTTAGCTGATTTTGGGTATTAATATGGATTGATAATGTTGATTGGATGCGTTGGAGTAATCAACAGACGTCCTCTGACCCGTCGCCTTTGCCACATGTCGCCACTTGTACGTGTGGCTCCTCTATCGGTCTAGGAGGTTTCTGGAATCGGTCCAGTCAGACTGAATTGGTCCTGTCAAACTAGTCTGAACCGAGTCAACTCACCTGAGTCAACCTAGACCGAGTCAACCCGTTAACTTTGATCGTTGACCGGTCTGACCATTGACTTTGACAAAAAAGTCAAAAAAATTTAAAAAGTCATATTTTATGGTTTTCGACGTCATGAGTCCGAATTCGAAGTCATTTCATAAAATTCAATCCCAGAAAGATGTTTTTCAATATTTGACATTTTGATTTGATCTGTTTACCGTAATTGATTGAATTGAGCTTAAATGTTAGATCTATGGAGAATGAGAATGGAAATCGAGGTAATACATTAATACCTTATGTATGCTTTATGGAACATGCTAGCATTGGTTAATGCATAGATGAATAAGTTTGGTTACATGTGTGTAATTAATATATTTCTAAACTCGTTCCAAAAGCGAAAAAAAAGTAATTAAACTGAATAAGACTCAGATTACACGTATACGACACTAGAAGACTGATAAGGAATAATTTCAGGTTCAATGATAAACTGATAAAGCAATCAACCTCAGAATCTTTAAATTCTAATTATTTTCGTTAAAAGGTTTAAAACCAGAATCACATGGTTAAGAAATTACAAAATTACCCTTATGAGGTAAAAATGGACCGGACTGACTTTGATAGTGAAAGTACCCTGAGAATTCGTTTTTAATCCGACAAACTACTGATTCTCCTATTAAATTTTTGATCTTTTTGGAAAACATGTTGATAATCAGATCTTAGCATCCGAGAAGGTACAAGACCTAGAATTATTGATTTACCAGCAAACAGCTAAAGACTAAAACATCGTGAGCATTATTTATGTTTTAATTGTTCAGGAAATTGAATTAAATGGAAAAACTGGATTAAAGTGTCAAATAACCCAAAGTACCTCCAAGCCTTAGAATGACTATATACCCTCAAGCTTCGAAATGAATAAATCAACCTCGAATACTAAAATGACATATAATTTCTATTTCCTGAGCGAACACCTAGAGACTAAATTATCGAAGGTATTTTACACGTCTAAATTTCCCGAAATTACTATATTATATGACCAAGTTGAATTGAATTGAAGTATTGTATGTATCCGAATTGTGGAAATGACCGAATTACTCTGGAAACTCCGAAGTGACTTGGATAAACTTGACTACTAAATGACCTACGTACCCTCAATGACCACGAATCAAGCACGCTAACATTTCTTGATATCGTTGCAATACAAAAATGAAATAAATGCCATTGGAATACATGTTCGTCTCTCTAAGATCCATTCAACGATGATTCTGAAGATGATCGGTTTAACTAGTGATGTCAGTATTAAAGTGTGAATTTATATATCCTTGAAGTACATCGACTTGACTGATTGATAGGTATCATAGTGCTGGGATTTGTTTCGTTCGAGTTGACTTGATATCTTGATAAATCGACATGAATCTTAAATACCATGGATCATCGTCTCATTCTTATTAGATTAAATTACTAAGAATTCTATAAGAACCAAATGTCCAAAATGCCCCTGATTTCATGAATAATGTAAGCGCTCCTGGCATACTTGAAATCTCAAGTAACTCTGATGCAATAGATTTTGAATACATTCCTGATTATTTAGTGCTTCCGAAAAATATTTGAATACTATATGATCTTGATAAATTACTTCCTGAATGACTGATGAATCTGTTAGCTATCAAACCCCTTTTATAAGGATATTGATTTTGAAATCCTATTAAATGACAAAAGTTTCATGGATCCCTACCTGAAAAATACCAAGTACATCTGAAGAATAACCAGATCCTCTAGTGTGTTCCATATGTGAAATGTAATTGTTTTTCCTGTTTTAAAACGTGATTTTTCAAAATTAGGGATTTACTGATGTTTTTATTTACTTTTAAATGAACTATGGTTACATGATATGTGTTCTCTGATTACATGTTTTCACTGGAAAATATAATTGTTCTTGATTTATGGATCATGGGATCTATTGGTTACTACTTGAATTGTTTTATTGGGACATTATCTGGGTAGACTGGAGTATGGAGCTTTAGCTCGGTCAAACTGGTAATTCCCTACGAACCTTATGTGACCCTTGGGTAGGCTCCGAGGCCCCGAGAAACTTTTTTGGATAGGCTCTCAGGCCCCAAGACACTTTTTTCAGTAAATCATGGGACTGTATATGGTGTATAGGTGGAGGACATTCATGTGATTTAAATAACTAAATGATCATTTTTACAATATACTATTGTATCATGATTTTGATATTATAGGGTACTACTAAATATGATTTTTTACTGGGGACTGTATGGGTAGGCTGGAGTATGCAGGTTCAGCTCGGTCAAACTGGTAATTCCTTATATATGTTCAGACCGATCAAGCTGGTAAATCCTTATGGACCTAAAGAGACCCTTGGGTAGGCCATAGGCCCCAAGGAACTCCTTTAGGGTGGCTCATATGTTGTGTGCTTAGGGTAAGTCCTTATGGATGCAGTTCTGGGGAAACTGATAAAGGTGTTTGGTTTGATGGTATTACTGTGATTTTAAAATATGTTTTAAACTACTAACCTTTTTAAATGATCTATATACGTTACTCTGTTTTGTTGGAACACAATAGACATCCTTGGTCCTCTGAATGTTTCCTCTTAACTGAAATCTTCATGTCTTTTACTCGAATAAGTATCAGTGGAACCACACTCTTCCCGAAAACTTGTGTACGAATGAATCAATAAGGAAAATTTATGTTTTCCATTTATATGCATGTCCTTCAGCATCACTTGGTAGTTCTGTATTACTGAGCTTCCTAAAGCTCACTCTTTTACTCACCATTTCAGGTTAAAAGAATCAAACCAGTGCGGCTATCGACATCAGTAAAGGAGTTCCACCGGTGTTGTTTGCGGAGTACGGTACATGTGATTAGGGGGCATGTAGATTGTATTATGTTTTTATATCCGAGTCTGAAACCTGTTTTATTACTGGATATTATTGAATTCTACTTTTAATAATACATATATATAAATGATTTTCTGAACTTGTATTTTAATTATAAATTGTTTTATGATTTTACGTGTTTTAACAGAAGTTTTAATTTTTCATGGATTTTTATTATAAGTCGCTCTGGTGGTTATAATGTGACACATCGGATCGGATCGGGTTACCCGCATCGGTATGAGGATGTTACATACTTTTTCTTTGTGCCGCTTAGCTTTTCTTTCTTTGATTTTGTTAGTTAGCGTTGACATCTACCTTAATATTGGTTGTCGATTGTCAGTATTCTTTATTTTTTTTATCTATTTTATATCTCATATTTATTCTTTTTTTTGTTTTTAATTTTTAATAACTATTTCTTCATGGTACGGTTTTCTTTGCTTTTATGGCATGATTTCTTCTACTTTATGGTATATTTTCAATCTTCTCTATCGTTCGATTGGACTTTTTTATTTGTTTATTTTTCAGGCTTGGATTTGACATTGCCTCAAATGATCAAGATGACCTTATTTATTATCCTGTTGATTTGCCCTACTTTGGACCCTCGGATGAATTTGGATAAACGGTTTGTGTTCGGAGATATTTTTCCCACGACACTCAACTTGATTCACGATTGTCGGTGATCTTTCAATTGTTTAATCTCATGTCATGGTTCGTTTGTCGATGCAGTCAAATCTATTAGCATATTTGTTTTGTTCAAGTTTTTTGGATGAGTTTTAACTTTTTTTCCTTGTATGGTCCCTATATGATCCGAAGTGGCTAAT